TTGGCCCTGGCAAGATGACGGGCCCGCTGTTCATGGGCAACGCTTTCACGTTCGCGCTGGCCTCGTTGATCGGCTACCGCGTCGTCTGGGGCGTCACGCCCGCGCTTCACTCGCCCCTCATGAGCGTCACCAACGCCATTTCAGGTTCGTCCACCACAGTGACTGAGAACAGAGACAATACGGACTAACACCCACAGGCATGGTCGGTATCGGCGGCCTCTTCATCCTAGGCGGAGGCTACCTCCCCCAAACGATCCCCCAAGCCCTCGGCGCCGCCTCCGTCCTCCTCGCCTTCGTCAACGTCTCGGGCGGCTTCGTCCTCACAAAGCGCATGCTCGACATGTTCAAACGCCCCACCGATCCCCCCGAATACCCCTGGCTCTACGCCGTGCCGGCAGCCCTCTTTGGTGGCGGCTACATCGCCGCCGCCGCCACCGGCGCAGCGGGCCTCGTGCAAGCCGGCTACGCCGTCTCCTCCGTCCTCTGCATCAGCTCCCTCTCCAGCCTCGCCTCCCAGGCCACCGCCCGCATGGGCAACATGCTCGGCATGCTCGGCGTCGGCTCCGGCGTGCTGGCTTCCTTACTGGCCGTCGGCTTCTCCCCAGAGGTCCTCACGCAGTTCGCCGGTCTCGCGGCCCTGGGCGGCATCGCAGGCCTCGTCATCGGCAAACGCATCACGCCCACAGACCTCCCGCAGACCGTGGCCGCGCTCCACTCCGTCGTCGGCCTCGCCGCCGTGCTGACCTCCATCGGCAGCGTCATGGCGCACATTGACGACATCTCCACGCTGCACCTCGTCACGGGCTACCTCGGCGTCCTCATCGGCGGCATCACCTTCACCGGCTCCATCGTCGCCTTCCTCAAGCTCGCCGGCAGAATGTCCTCCAAACCCCTCGTCCTCCCCGGGAAACACCTGCTCAACTCGGGCATGCTGGCCGCCAACATCGGCACCATGGGCGCCTTCGTCACCCTCGCCCCCGGGTCCCCCATGATCGCCGCCATGGCCCTCTCCGCCAACACAATCCTCTCCTTCGCAAAGGGCTACACCACCACGGCCGCCATCGGCGGCGCAGACATGCCCGTCGTCATCACCGTGCTCAACGCCTACTCGGGTTTCGCCCTCGTCGCCGAAGGCTTCATGCTCGACAACCCCCTCCTCACGACCGTCGGCGCCTTAATCGGCGTCTCCGGCTCCATCCTCTCGTACATAATGTGCGTCGCCATGAACCGCTCCCTCACAAACGTCCTCTTCGGCGGCATCGCCTCCACCCCGGCCCAAACAGACTACAAAATGGAAGGCGTCGTGACGCAGACAAACGTAGAAGACACGGCCGAGGCGCTCGTCAACGCCGAAAACGTAATCATCGTCGTCGGCTACGGCATGGCCGTCGCGAAAGCGCAGTACGCCATCAGCGAGATCACGGGCATGCTCCGGTCCAAGGGCATCAACGTCCGCTTCGCCATCCACCCCGTGGCCGGCCGCATGCCGGGCCAGTGCAACGTGCTCCTGGCGGAGGCGAGCGTGCCGTACGATATCGTGCTCGAGATGGACGAGATCAATGACGACTTCGGCGAGACGGACGTCACGCTCGTGATTGGCGCCAACGATACGGTGAATCCCATCGCGCTGGAGCCCGGTAGCCCGATTGCGGGTATGCCTGTGCTGCAGGCGTGGAAGAGCAAGCAGGTTATTGTGATGAAGAGGGGTATGGCCAGTGGATATGGTGAGTTTTTTGGAATGGAATTGAGAGTAGGGAAGGTGACTGACCGTTGGAACAGCCGACGTACCGAATCCCATGTTCTACATGCCCGGAACACGCATGTTGTTTGGAGACGCCAAAGTGACTTGCGACGGTTCGTGCCCCCTTTACGTTCCTCACTCATTGACCAGACACAGAAAACTGACCATGAACTCTGTGATGTAGCAATCAAAGCAGCCGTCGAGACCCGAGCAACATAGATTCTAGAGAGATCTCCGTATCGCACAATCATAAGACACCTCCGGCCGGCACCCCATGTTTTTGGGAACTCAGGAAGCATCTGATCTTTTCCCTAGAGGCGCTGCATCTACAAAGGAGCTCTCCATCATGAACAACATATCTCTTAGCTATACTGCTTGACCCCCTTTTCTTCTTTTTCTTTTTTCCCCTGCTTCCAGCGCGCTTTGTATATATTGTGATCCAAGGACGTAGCGGTAGTTTCTGTTAGCCAAAGTATGAATCGCAACACATGATCTATCAAAACAGAAGCGCCAAAGAGCTCAAGTGACTTGACATGTGATAGACTTGGGGGAAAGAGGGAGAGGGAGAGAGAGGGCGAATTGTCACGAAAGACGTTGAGACGTCCTCGATGACCAGAGACTCAAAAATCTCCCATCACAAGAAACGGATCCCCCCCCTCTCCTACGTACATCCTCCGCCCTCTAGTCGGATGCGAAAAGACAGACAGACAGAACATGATGCCCCAACCAAAGACATCATACCGAGCTCGGTACTCCTTATGAATCCTAAAAACCAAACCATGATCAACATTTTCCTGTTCTGATCGCCACCTTTCAGACCTCTCTCCACACACTTGGGTATATAAACCAGTACGATTGACCCCCCTTCGCTTTCCCCACGCAAAAGTCTCACCAACGGAAGTCCAGCAACCCCCTCCCTGAGTCGAGTCTCAACGAGCAGAGTCACTCTGTAAGAAACGAGCACTCTGCCCACAGCCCCCCAAAAAGGGCAGTCCAGATCCGACAGCGAGGGCAGCGAGATGTCGGCACCTTATGATCACAGCACAATACGTCAGCACAACATATCAAAAATCTCCCAAAACGGCATCTGGAATTTCCTTCCATTTGGCCTCCTTGCCTCAAACGGCGAAAAAAGGGCCCTTTCACAATATTCATTACATGGTTTGTTCCTCCCCCCTCCTTCTCCCCGTCCATCTCCTTTCCCCGTGAAATGCCGTCTCGCCCCAGTCTCCTACAAGAGGAAATAGTCCGTATAGCAGAGAGAAAAAAAAGGGGGAGGCTCTCAAAGTAAAAAGCACGCGTGGGTGGAATTACTTGTTACATGGTGTGGTCTCTTTCGTTCTTGTATCAGGTCAGTCCATCCCCAGAGACCGTCCCAGATGGGAAAAAACAACAACTGTGTGGGTGTGTGTTTGGTTTAGTAGTGTCAAGAATTCGACAAAAAAAATCTGTGATGGAAAAAAAGCAAGTTTTGCTGCCCAAGATTTCTCTCCGGAACAGTTTCGCAGCGGCCGTTACGCCTGGAAACAAGACGGTGAGCACTGCTCTGTCTCAACACTCCACCCCCCCCTTTTCGTGGTGAGAAAGATGGATCGAGTGAGCGAGGCCCACCGCCAGACCGTAGTCCTAATATGCATCTCATCCCGCCCTCCAGCCAATCCGCCGTGTCCCTACCAATCTTGAGAAGTAAAGGTTAAAGAGATATGCAACGCCGATTGCAATCAGAGAGTGAGGAATGTGTTTGAGTGTGTGGGTGATGTGTGCGCGATTAACCAGACTGGTGACACTGAAAAGCGCTGTGATCGGGCCATGGAGGCCATGTTGGTAACAAAAGAAAGAAGCGAGTCGGTTTGTTTCAAGGGGGCTGATTTATGCCAGGGAGAGCCGTGTGAGGTGCTCTGTATAGCCACTCGGATTCTGGCGTCGTTGCCACTTGAGATGACTTTTTTTTTTGGTAGCTCGGCTGATGGACGCCAGCATGGATATCGAAGGTCGTAAGGACGTAATGGGTCATGATCCATTCGTGATGGGCGGCCGAGACGATTATAGTTGGCGCGAGGCCACATCAGACCGCTGACGGCAATCAGCAGGACTGATACAAGAGTAGCGGCTCTCCGACGTTTTCGATTTCGGGAATGGTGCACTTGAGGTCGAAGGCCTTGGACAGCACAATCTTGAAGATCTGTAGGTGGTCAGTCAAGTGCGATACCACGGCGAAAGAGTGCTCACCTTTTGCACGTTGATACTATGGCTCGTGCTGGAGAAGATCAACGCAGCGCGCATTGCCTTGGCGAACCGGCGAGCCTAATCTGTTAGCGCCGATACAAGAGGAACACTGTTCAGCGACATACCTGATTCGAGATCTCTTCTTGGTCCTCTCGCGGAAAGTTGACAAAGTGGTCATACTTGGTGCCCACCAAGATGGGGATGGCCGTCTTGTTGAAGCCCCTGCCTTGCCTGTACCACTCCTTGATGCTGTTGAGGGTGCTCTTCCGTGTCAGATCAAACATGAAGAGAATGGCGACGGCGTCGTTACAGACCAGCGGAAGCATGTTGACGAACTCGCGCTGGCCGCCCAAATCCCAGATGGAAAAGGTGATTTCGGTATTCCGGATGGAAATGGTCTTCTCCATAAAGTTGACGCCAAGCGTCTGGATGTAGTCCTCGTCCCAGCTTCCTTCCACGTACTTGACCATGAGACTGGTCTTGCCGATTTGCGCATCTCCCACCATGCCGACCTTGATGACGACGTGGTTGCGACCGTTGCTTGCGGCGGCTTCCGCACCGGCGCTGCTGCGCGACGCATGGTCGGCGTAGCCTTGTTGCGCGCCGGCGCCGGAAAGCCCAGAAGCAGGTCTTGAGATGGAAGGGGCGTTCATAGGAAGTGGTGGTGTGTTGTAGCGATCCGAGTGCTGCTCTTCGGGTCGCGGGGATTGTGGGAGGCCATGATCGAGGGACTGACTTGACTGATGACGCTGGGGCTCTGGGTGATCGTAACCGTTGTTCTGGGCCACCTGGGGAGAGGCATCGAAGGCACCGATGGTGTCGTCGGGGTGAGGCTGCGCGGCCAAGTGGTCGTGGTCCATGGTGTCGACTGCGTCGTGGAACTGGGCCGGTGACCCCGCGGACAGTGTTGAGGAATCCAGCGTGGAGATTCGAGGGTGCGGGACGGGAGGCTCAGTGTCGAGCAAGGGGCCGGAAAGACGACGATGCTGGAGTTTACCGGCTTGCCGATGAGCGAGGACAAGTGACAGTCGGCGCCGAGTCCCAAAAGAAGGTCGAGGAGAGGGCGGCAGGTTTCAGTTCAGGCCCGACGATGGCTTCATGGAGCGCTTGCCAGGGCGGCGGCGCGGCGATTGATGGGGCAGCAGAAGGGCCAAGTCGAAACCGGGCTATTCGAGATGGTATCTGTCGCTGATTAGGATTGGCGACGTCGACGCAACTCGTGGAGGTGAGAATAGGTGAGGTGGGAGAGAGGGAATGAGTGTTCAGGCAAAGATGTCTCACCTAGCCTCTCCACACACGGAATCCAGAGGAAGAGAGGAGGGACAGGAGCGTGGTGTGGACGGTACGGGACCTTGAGACGGTGCGGTGCGGGAACAAGAGAGGGGATTGGACGACGAGTTGAAGCAGGGGTTGCCCACCTCGAGCTGAGCAATGGGAATGGGCCAGACGAACGTACCGAGAGTGTGTAGTATCAACAGGCGACTACTTGGTCGTGACCGAGTTGCAAGAGCCGGGCCGAAGCTTGACAACAACAGGAAGCCCTCGTTTTGGTGGGTGGACTTGGCGAAGAGACGAGGTTGAAAGGTGCCAGGTTGCGGCAGACGGTGAGGCAAGACAAGGCGAGCAAAAGACAGAAAGGGTCAGGTATCGACGACGGGACAGGATGGCGATGAGATGAGATGCGGCGGTGCGGTACGGATACTCGATGGCAGGAGGAGCTGGAGGTGACGGTCATGGAATGTACCGAAACGGGCCCAGGGGAGGGAGTCAGGGTATGGGGATGGAGTAGCGGAGATCCAGGCAAGGCCAAGCACCAAGCAGCCGTGGATATGTCAATGTCAAGCGCCAGGGAAGTTGTGCGCGTCGGATGGATAGACGGGATGCTGAGGAGATGCTTGTGCGACTTTGTTGTGCTGTGCTGCCCCCCGTTGTTGTGTTTTGGTGCAAGAGAGGGGGGGGGGAGGGGGGAAGATGGGATGTCAGTGCAACATAACATTACGGAGGTACGTACCTCGCATGGTGCGAACATGGACAGGCACAACTCGAACCAGTACACTAAAGGGAAGCAAGCGACTCTTTGGCTTGGGTGATTTAGCGGAGCATTAGGTACCTTAGTGAGGCACGCCAGCGCAGGAAAGCCCAGGGAAACGGCAAGTCAGGGCCATCCCCAGGCCATGGCGCTTATGGCAGATCGAGGAAGGGAGGGCCCAGGGGAAAGAACGCAGCCAGTCAGATGGCCAGGATGGATACTTTTGTCCTGTTCGTGCACTGGCAATGACGCCAAAGTTGAGCAAGTAGGTACACTACGCAGTACGCAGTAGATCACGGTTGTGTGGAGAAGACGCGAGACGGACGCGTTTTATGCACACAATACGTACGCCTCCAGTACACACTACACAGTACCTTACGGTAGGTAGGTAGGTAGGTAGGTAGGCAATGTTGTTCAGCCGCCCCACGCACCACAGGCGCACCTCCCTTTCGTGCACTAACACACCTCTAGCACCTTATGACGGGAGATTTGGTGCTATTGCTTTCGAGGATTATGGATGATGCATCACGGGCGGCGGCATTTATGGAATCGAATCAACGTACACGCACAATCCATCCTCGTTTATTAATACTTGCCAATTTTCTTCCATTCTTTTCTTCCAGGTCCACTGACTGGTGGGCTCTTGGGCTTCTTTCAGCTTCGCCTGAAGTCAGTGGGACTCGACAGGGACAACTCGACAGTGGACGGTGGTCGCACCGTACGAGCGAGCATGCGTAGCGCGGGCAAGGCACTGAGACAAAAACGTTCAAACGGACCGGCCGAGCCTCACCAAACAGGGCACAACTTTCGAGGGCGGTGAGCCTCATGTCGTCTGTCGTCAGTCGTCAGTCGTCACTGGTCAGGAATCACATCTGCCTGGCTTGCAATCGAGTTCCTCTGCAGACATGAAGACCACTGTTGTTGACAGCGCCTGCAATGTTGACAAGTAGAAACGCTGTCGCTTGCGACGTGACATTGGCCGATGAATTCGTGCAGCTGCAGCTCGTTGTCCGGGACGCAGCAGAAAAAAGCACAGCGCCCAATGTCAATAGAAAACTTGCCAAAAGTCAACAACCCCCCCCATCACGCTCGGGTTCCCATTACGTAAGCCAGCACACGCGACATGGGACGATGCACAGAGTCCAGGGCCCGGGCTCGAACCCCAGGCTCAGCAAACAAGCCAGGCCTCTGACCGCAATTCTAGAATGAGGCTATTGCCAACTCTATCTCCGCCTTGAAAACTCATCCCGAATTGAATTGCAGGGCGCACGAGGGATGCCCACAGAGGCTTCGCCAATTCCACAGCAGAGACACCAGACCCAAAGAGACATCCACCAGATTTCAGGAAAAGAGGAAGAGGAAAAAAATAGTAACAGTCCAAATGGGAAAGGAAAAGCAACCGATGCAGAACCGATGAGATCGAGACTAGAACATTTCCGCCATGCAATTTCGCAGGCACGAAATGGGGAATTCATGCAAACGGCATGAAGCCGTTGTAATAGTCCACCACGGCCCACGGTCGACCACGTCCGCCCAGTCCACCTGGCACCCGCCCGAAAAATACCCAGAGTCCCAGACCAAAAGAGACGGGACACTCCCGGATGGCCTCGCAACGGACTCCTGGCCCGCTCCGTCCGAGCCCTTGGGTTCATGCCCGGCTCTCTACGTCGTCCTCTCGCTTCCTGCCCGCGGCGGGGATTCCCTGTGACTGGCACACTACCTCAAGTGCACAGAGAATAAGAGGCTAGCAGCAGACACCTCAGACTGACTAAAGAGAAGGCGCTCTCGGCTTCCCCTCCTATCGCTCTCCCTCCAACCCAGCGCGGTCTCTTATCGCCCTGCATCCAATGACCCCAGGCTGGCTCTTGCGGCCCCGGGCCGATGGCAGTCCGCTCAAACAGTCATGACTAAGGCGACGGCGGCTCGAGAAACATGTCCCCTGATTGGCTCAACAGCTGGTGTTTGAATGGAAGAGTTCCCGGTCTCGGTAGGGCGGTACGTACCTCCCGATAACCTATCAGCCGCCCAGGCCCCAAATTCCCCCGGAAGCTCTAAAGTCGGCCGTTCTGACCTCATTCTCAAACTCCAAAAACCTACCACCACTCTTCCACATCTCTCACGACAAACCCAAAAAAAAATCCTCAAAATGGCCTCAATTGCACGCAGCATGAGGGCAGTCCGCCCCTCCGCCCTCTCCCAATTCACAAAGGCCGCTCCCCGTGCCTTTTTCCCCCGTCCCGCGCAGCGCAGCTTCTCTACAACCCCCAGCAGTGAGCTCCCCTTCCAGCTTCGGCTCCCCACCCGAAGGTATCAAACACCACAAGACTGACCCCTCGGACCTGCTTCCGAACCATCATCAACAGGCTTAATACGCAAGTACACAAAGGACCACGAGTGGATCGACCTCAACGCCGACAAGAAGACGGGCGTCGTCGGCATCTCCGAGTACGCCGCCGAGGCGCTGGGCGACGTCGTCTACGTCGAGCTCCCCGAGGAAGGGACAGAGGTCGCCCAGGGCGACGCCATCGGCGCCGTCGAGTCCGTCAAGAGCGCCGCCGACATCAACGCCCCCATCAGCTGCAAGGTCACCCAGGTCAACCTCGGCCTCGAGGAGAAGCCCGGCACCATCAACAAGGTGCCCGAGGACGACTCCCACGGCGGCGGCTGGATCGCAAAGGTCGAGGTCGACGAGGCGGGCGTCCAGGAGCTCGAGGCCCTCATGAGCGAGGAGGAGTACAAGGCTTTCACCGCTTCCGAGGATCACTAGATTGATGGGGAGAGAGGGGGAAGAGAGAGAGAGAGAGAGAGCAATGGTTTGGTTAGATATAGGTAGCCGGCAGTTCAACCGGGCAGAGTGCGTGTCTGTACTATACGCCAACGCCAAGCGGGTATTCACTTTTCGGGTTTGCGGTTCAACAACGTGGTAGCCACCAACATAGAGCAATGAGAGATGATGGTCATCAAATGGTTCCAGTGGGAACAGTCTATTTTCTTCCGTTTGGTGTGTTTTGTCCGATTGAGTCCTTCTTCCGATTGTGTCATAAGTTCGTTACGCAGCAGCATTGGCCGCCGCCGCGGTCTCCGCCGTCGCGATCTGGTCACCCGGCCGCGCCTGGTTGATATCATCAAGGATCTTCTGCGCGCCCCCATCCACCAGGTCCTGCGCCACGAGCTTGCCAAAGTCATCGGCCTCCTCCCGCGTCGCAATCGTCTCGGTCCTCTCCGCATCTACGCCCTGCGTGCCGTCAACGTGTACCACCGTCGCCTTGAGGCGCAGCTTCTTGCTACCATCGACCTCAACCCAACTCGTCTCCACGCCAATCGGCACGCTGCACCCACCCTCGAGCGTGCGCATGACGCTCCGCTCCGCCACGCACGCCAGCATCGTCGGCTCGTCCTCGAGCTCCCGCAGCACGCTCAGCACCCTCTCGTCGCCCGCCCTCGCCTCGATCCCCAGCGCGCCCTGTCCGACGGCGTGCAGCGTGCCGCCGTTCTCCGAGTCGAGGTACTGCGAGATGCGCGCGCCGTAGTCCATGCGCAGCAGACCCGCGGCGGCGAGGATGATCGCGGAAAAGGGGCCCTCCGGGTCGTCGCACTTGCGCAGGCGCGTCTCGATGTTGCCGCGGACGTCGGCGAACTTGAGCCCCGGGTGGCGGCGCTTCAGCTGCGCGATGCGGCGGATGCTGCTGGTGCCGATGACGCTGCCCGCGGGGAGGTCGCCCAGCGTCTTCCAGCCGTGCTGCTCGGCGAGCCCGGCCTTGAAGACGACGACGTCGCGCGGGTCCTCGCGCTTGGTGACGCAGCCGAGGGTGCAGCCGTCGGGCAGGGTGGTGGGCATGTCCTTGAGGGAGTGGACGATGATGTCGAGCTCCTTGGCGACGAGTTTCGCCTCGAGCTCGTTGGTCCACAGGCCCTTGCCGCCAAAGTTGTAGAGCGCCGTGATCTGGTCCTTGTCGCCGAGGGTCTGCATGCTGTGGATCTCGAACGTGGCGTCGGGGCGGGCTTTCGAGAGGCCCTCGACGACGATCTCGGTCTGCTTCATCGCCAGCGCCGACCTGCGCGTGCCGACGTGGATGGGGGTGCCGTTCTCGGGTGTGGCGGCCATTGTGACGGGCGATGTGGGGTGTGTGTGTGTGTGTTTGGGATTGAAATGTCGTCTCTCGGTGCAATCGACGGTTCTTCGCCGGCGCCAACGAAGTCAATTGCGAGTTGTTGAGCTGGCGTGAGGTGTGTCGTCGAACTCGAGAATTGAATTTTGGCTTCGGAGTTTGGCAAGTTGGAGTACTCGGCAGGCAGGTAAGAGCGATGGCGGGGATGGAGGGGTAGCACGAGAGCAACCACAAGTTCGGTACTGTGACGGGACTGTAGCCGACACTGTGTCTGCAGGGCCCGGGGATCCACCTCCGCCGCCGCATCTCCGAGCCTCCGACTGCATCCCGTCAGCTTCAAGCCGAACTTTCGTCTTTTCTCGAATCAGACGTCATGGCCGGGAATGGATCTTTGCAACTTTGAGGAGAATGATCAGTTCGGCTTCGGCATGTTCAAAGTCGGCATCGACTTGTCGAACCTGATCATATCTCTGCAGACCCCTTTCCTCAATACTTGAAATCACACAGAGCTCTGAGTGTGCGTGGGAGCATCCGCCATCGTGCAGGGCAAACACCTCTGACGTGTCGAGGCACAGAACACAACACGACCACGGTGTTGATTATTTTTGAGTTGTTCCTATTTCCCTAATTCCCTTGAGACAACACGCTACTACGCAAGGTATTTCCCTGGCCGTCACGCTCGGGGGAAGAATCTGGGTGATGCCTGACATGAAGCAAGCCTAGGTGGGGATCGAGGGGCACAGGGGAACTTTGACTTCGTGTTCTTCTTCTGGGGCTACCTCAAATTGTTACGAGAGTCCGTCACTCTAGGTCGTAACGTAGTCGGCATGTTCCGCCTCGCCGTCGAGTCCTGTTGCACCCGCGCCGTGGACGGGTTACTTTTGTGCCTCTCGAGATCGGAGCGCGGCAAGTGATGAAGTACGATGACGCGGAACAGATGCAGGTGTCAGCGTGGCATGATTCTAGCCTTGTCTCATAGTCTTTGGAGTTGACAACGTCTGCGGTCGTAGTAGAATCAAGTATCTATCGGAACAAGCATGTCTTCACTGATGGTTCCCTGACCAACTAGGCCAGATCAAATTCGGTCCTAAACCACTCGAATCATGAATGACTTGACTCTCCGTCCATACATACTGCGGTATCACCTTCGTCACGGGTGCAACGGACAACGTGTAAGCTACATCAGCCGAGTCCACGAGAAGAAACGTCAGACAATGTTCAATGTCCTTCGAGTCCTCTCGCCCAAACATCACATCATGACCCAGAAGTTGAATGTCGACAATGTGTATAAAGCGAGCTGTCAATCATGCAATCCCGTCTTGTTCATCACCAACAACGCCAGAGTAGCGGCAATCATCTCTTCGGATAACCAAGACATCAACTCTCCCAGCCCTCCCACCACACAGATATGAAGTTGAACATCCTATCACTGGCCACCCTCCTGGCCTGGGCCTCTGCTGCGCCACAAGACCCCCAAGTGCCACCAGTCTCAACCTCCATCACGACAATCACCGTCAACGGCCAGCCGCCCGCGTCCACCAAGCCCATCCCAAACAACCCCGGCCCGGACCCGGCTCCCGCCCCCGTCCCCGCGCCCGCTCCCTCAGGCCCAGCACAGCCGGCACCCGCTCCCGGCGGCGCCCACTGCGTCTGCGGCGCAACCTACTGCGGCAAAGTCCTCGTCGGATTCCAAGGTAATGTTCCTTCCTCGCCGTCCTTCATCCACGTCTCCAGACAAAAGAAACCTCCCTTGTCCCCCTTCTCACCTTGCTCTCTAACACTCCGTCCAGGCTACACAACCGAACAAGTAGGCCAGGGCTACTGCGCAACCCCAGGCACAAACTGCGCCGCCGCCGCCCCGGCCGTCGAGTCCCTCGAGAACACCCTCTTTGTCTGCATCTGCCCTCCTGGGCAAAAGACGGGCTCCGCCATCGAGCTCATCTGCCCCTGCCAGGGCCGCTGCAAGAACGACGAGCCCGACTTTATCGGCCGCTGCGAGACGCCCTGTAACCTCGGCTGTGCTCCTACTGCTTCTGCCGCGCCGGCGCCGAGTGCTAGCGCTTCGACTATCCCAGCTGCGCCTGGTCCCGTTGACGCGTTGCCTATTCCTGTGCCGGTCCCGGCTGCACCCCCTGCTGCTGCGAGGAGAGGGTCGTAGTGATGTTGAAGTTCCGTTTTGTCGGATCTCGTGAACACGTGGGCGGGTCTCATTTCTCTTGATTATATTTCCTCTGCGTCTTTGTTGCGGGTCAACGATGGCCGGGATAGGGTATTTCGTAATTCAGCACTCCATGAAGGGTCTGAGTCCTACGCTCTTTTTCAGCTTGGTTGGGTTGCCGCAGCAAATAGGCAAGCTGTGCTTGGGAGAGATCACGCACTCTCTGGATTTGGATACCGGACATTCATTCAAAGTTTGATTACGCAGCACCGGGTGGCCATTTGCGTCGTGAGATGGACTCGTGATTATGCCAGATTCGTGGAATCGACCCAAGGGAAAACGCCTTGCAAGGGCCACATCTACTCCCTACCTCGGTTCTGATTTCCTCAAAGCATGGCAAAGACAAGCCGTAAGAGACCTCGAACCAACGTAGACTGACTGACCGACTGCCCGGGGCCGCATGATCCCAAGGTGAAGAAGAGACAAGTGTTTGCAATAGTAGTATCCTCTTGTGGGAAAACTTCCCACCCCTGAACAGACTGTCTATCGACCACCGACTTTGGGCCATGTCAGTAGTGCGTGGCAAGTGTATCGCCTTGGATACCACACCGTGGAAGGTATGTAGAGCCTCCGAACACTCCAAGAGGCACATATGTTTCCCTCTCTCTGGATTGAGAAGACGGGTCTCAAACGGGTTCCGACATCCTATGGCCCGGACTCCAAGGGCGAGGCATCAGTGGTCGGAGCAAGCTTCGGGTCGGTCATTCTTCGATATTTGGAGAGAAGCTGGGGGAGAAGGGGGAGTTGGGGGTCTGGATTGCGGCTTACCCGTGGGCCAATATTCGATGGCCAGCAGACTTTGTCAGAGTTGAGGTGCTGGCCAAGAAATCAACAATGCTTGAACCGCCCCTTTTCCATTCGTGTAGCGCTGATGGTGTGTTGAGCAGCATTTGGAGAGCATTCGGGCAAGATCTCTTTCTTGCGATAGCATGACCCTCTGCTCAAAGATACTATGGTCTCTCAAGCGGAATAGACACCCCATCGCATCCAACAACGTCCATGCCATGTCATGCCACCCAGGACGTGAGTCAGCCACAGCCACGATCCACACTCCTCCCGTCCACGCCCTGTTTTCGCGCCCATCCATCCCACGATCCTCGCACAATCCGGTCGGCTTCTTCTCTCAAGGTATCCCCATCCACTGCGCCGTGGTGGAAGGGCCTTGGGCGAGAGCGCCGTAACACCTCCCAACCACAAGTTGACCGAGTCCACCCGATGGCTCAACGGTAAAAGCGACAGGCTTGTCGTAGTCATAGGACCACAAATACTACCATCACAACCCACCGATCGGGGTTCGAGTCCCATGCTACCTTGTGGTTACGGCGGTAAAGCTCGGGTAGCGCGGGGTCTCCTCCCGAAAGGGACGAGATTGAGCGTCGAACTTTTATTTTTATTTTTATTTTTTCTTATTTTTGGATACATTTTGGTGATGGTATGAATCAACGAAAAGGAGTTGTCTTGCGACGATGGAGGGATTCGAACCGAGTGGTGGTGGTGATGATGGTGATGTCGCGAGTGGTGTTGAGGACCTTGGGAGAACCGCCCCCTCCCCCCCCCCCCTTTTTTTTTTTTTTTTCGCCCGGAGCGTCAGGCTGGGCAGTAAAGAACGATATTCATTCCCAGATATAGCTTGAATGACTGAAGACCTTTCAAACTCGATTTCCAGTACGTTGGTCGCCATCTTGCTGTACCTGCTCCATCCAGACATCGAACAATGGCCGAGCCGAAGCGTGCTCGCACCCACTGATCCCTTGCCCCTTAGAAAGAGACCAAGCCATTGGGATATCGATCTTCTGTCCAACGGCGGAAGCCGTCCTTTCTCTTTCGATTTGGGATCGTAGGCTAGACGCCGCTCCTAGAATCTATCTCGTCAGTCCTGGGCAAAGCTCAAGGCATCCCAAGACCAAGACCCATCTTCCCATGACATGACCTTCGTGAATGGTGAACAACAACCCCAAGGCAGAATGCTCTTCGAGGAGAGAGCAACATCAAGGCTGAAGAAGAAGTTTCAAACCCACCCTTCAGCCTTCCAGACGATATCCATAGGAAGTCAGCCAGTCTTTTGTCAACCCAAGTCAAAGTCTCTTCCACAACAAATCTCAACATCCCATCTTTACTCGACCCAACATCACCAAGGCACAGCAGCACCAAATTCAGTAAAATCTTTATCGTATTCTTCTACCTATTACATCCCGTTCATCAAAGCCGAGCCCATGTTCCGCACATCTCGGCAGATTTACCCCTGAGAAGACAAAGTCAGCTACTTGGTCTGTCCAAAATGTCCTTGAAAGAAACAAAGAATATTGTCGCAACAAAATCAGACGTGATCAAACGTTTTCTCAGCAACCGCACATTGGTGCGTCTGAGTGAGCTGGGTAACGTGTAGGACTCATCATTTTAGGGGGAGGAGGGAGAGAAAAGAAAAGAAGAACATACCATCCAGGAAGACCATCCGGCCAGGCATGAGTAGCCACACCGTCCCAAGCCCTCCAAAGGGGAAAACCTTGCCAGATGCCAACTAACAGCCCAGACTTCGCACCAGCCAGAGACAGGTCTGCATTGTGGTGAAAGAGTTATTAGTATCATTGAGCCAACACGTCGCCCAAAACTTGAGGCGACGGCCCGCTCCCATCTATGACACACAAAGAAACACAAGGAAAATTACAAATGTTCTAAGTTTGTTCCACTCCCGGACGAGAGAGCGTGAGGCCCCTTTGCCGCAGTCGCCCGGGAAGATCATTTCGTCTTTTTCTGCAATGATGCCCAAACCCCCCCAGTTCGCCAAAGGCACAAACATACAAACGTCGTCAGCCTCCCAGGTCGTCATACACGTCCGACTGTAGACCCACTGCTTTGTCACAGCAGGGCTCCTTTTTTCGTTTTTCAAAAGTGTTGCCTCGCCAGTAGCGAGGGAACGATGCAGTAATACACAGTTGTGAAGAAAAGACCACGCCTCAGAGAAGTCGTAGTCGTGCGCGGCCTGGCATGCCATCAAGCCAAAGAATAAGGTGTCTCGTCACATCCAAGCGCGTTAAGCCGTTGACATATCGGCAAACAGAGACCCTCAAATGCCTGTACGGTCACCCACGTATATACACTCCACAGCGTGGACGGCACCAAGATTGGCAAGGGGTTTACGCCTTGCGGGATCGAGGAGTAGAGGAGCCGTTGGCCTTGGCTCCGCTGGCCTTGGCGCTGCCGTTGGAGTGGCCGGCGACAGCCGAGGCAACGGCGTGAGGGTCGGGGAGGGGAGCCTGGCTCATGCGGCGGAGAGACTTGCGAGTCTGGGACTTGCCGCCCTTCTTGTAGGTTGCGAGGTAGAAGGAGATGAAGAGGACGAGGTAGGAGCTGAGGATACCGATACCAGCAAAGGCGGCAAACTCCTCACCGGCACACTCGCCCGCATTGGGCATCCAGGGGAAGTAGGTCGAGGTGAAGTAGGTGTAGGAGGCGAAGTAGACGAAGCCTAGGATGGTCAGTATTGTGTTGAAAGACGGACTGAGTGCAACTTACCGAGATCGATGATGAACTGGATGATCTGGAAACGAGTGACCCACTCCTTCCACCAGATGCGGACACCGCGGGCACTCTGGAAGTAGTACCAGTACATGACGACGTGGACGCCGAGGTTGAGGGTGATGGGAACCCATGAGACGGCAGTGGAGCCAATCAGCTGGGTGTAGCAGAGGAGAGCAGTCGCGCCGTGGTGGTAGCAGTGGAGGAAGGCTGCAGAGTGTTAGCTTTGAGGGTTACACAAATCAGGGAGGTGCACATACTCAGAGGCTTCTTCTTGAGGAAGAGGAAGACGGTGTCGAGCAGCTCCATGTACTTGGTCAGGTAGGTCATCTAGGCTTGTCAGCTGGTGTCAATCGCACGCCAGTCGATGGAACGTACGTAGTAGAGGACAACAAGAGGCTGGGTCCAGCCGCCGTCGGCGTGGCAGATGGAGTGGAAGATGCCCTTGCGAACAACAGTGGGCAGGAGCTCCTCAATGTAGAGAGCAAGGAGACCGGCGCTGATGAGGGTGAGGATCAAGTTGTGGGCGAGGAAGAGACCCTTGAGCTTGTAGGGCTCGCGGTTGCGCATCCACTCGCGTCCTCCAAAGATGATGGTGTAGTAGATGATGACGAAGATGCCGGCCGACTTGATGGTCGACATGGGCGTGACGCCAGGCTGGAATCTGAACTCGCTCACGGGATAGCCCACGATGGGAGTCCAGACCTTGTCGAGAAGAGGCCATAGGTGGATGCCAAAGGGACGGTCGAGCGTGGGGAGAGGCAGTTGCTCGTAGAACGAGGAAGGTGCTTGAGTGGCCGCCATCTTGAAGGGTTGGTGGTGTTTTTTCGTCGAGCTCGGTGGGAGAAGAAAGACGGGTGTTGTGGCGCGATTATCTACTTGCGAAGATTTGCGACAAGGTGTTCGGTTGCCGTGGGTCTTTCGATGGGGACTCGACACGGAAGACACGGATTGATGGGATGGAGGAGGTAGAGTGTGCTCTACTCAGCAATGCAGCAGCGGCGGCGGCAAAGCGGTTCGATGGACACGACCCAGAAAAGAGGCAAAAGCCTAAGGAGTGACGACAAATAATGGAGGGAAGAAAAGAAGAATGGCAGAAACGCGCTCTCGCTCTCTCTCTACCCGCCGCAAGACACCCGATGAGAATCTGGAGAATTGAGACGCGGGGAGGGGTCGGAAGGGAGGTGATCAGACAACGGGAAAACGCCACGGGCACGAGTTGGTTTATGAGGAGGAGAAAAAAAAAAGGAGGACGGACGGGGAAGGACACGAGCAATGGAGCAACAGCAGCAACAGGCGGCGATGCGAAAAGTTGTTGAGATGGTCAAAAGGGGAAAATTCCGATCCAGAAGGTCAAGGTACCCTGTACTTGTCGCGCAGCCTTTTTCGCGGCCCTCATTTGATCGTGCAGCATGTGATTCGCT